TCCCCCCTTCTGTGTATCTTCCTTTCTCTCTCATAGCTTCATTGTCTCTTCCTTTCCTTCTTCTAGCTTCTGTGTCTCTTTCTTCCCCTCTCATAGCTTGCGTGTTTCTTCCTCTCCCTCCCCCAGCTTATGTGCCCCTTCCTTTTCTTCTCCTAGGAAGAGACACACAAGTTAAGACAGGGAAAGGAAGAGACACAGAAGCTAGGAGAAGGAAAGGAAGAAACAGAAGCTGGGAGAAGGAAAGGAAGAGACACACAAGCTAGAGGAGGGAAAGGAAGAGACAATGGAGCTAGGAGAAAGAAAGGAAGAGACGCAAACTAAGAGAGGGAAAGGGAGCGACACACAAGATAGGAGAGGAAAAGGAAGAGACACAGAATCAAGGAGAGGGAAAGGAAAGGGAATTAAGGAATGGGAAGTGGGGGAAATAGGAGGGAGGAAAGGCAGTGAAGGGAGGCCTGGGGGCCTCACATCCTTTCCAGCCCTCGTCATCCTGGAGCTAACCCTGCTCCATGGCATGGACACAACCTCCAACGCTGTTAATGTTCAATAAACTGGAACAGTCTTTTCCTATGGGCCTTTTTTCGAGGTCTGCCTCTTATAGGCAAGGAGAAACGCCCTTAACAGAGAGAAAAGAACAAATGGGAACATAAAACGTCATCCTGGTTACTGCGCTTTAGTATAATAACAGTAGTGATGATAATGATAACACTGATCACAACGATAATAACAATTATAATAATTACAACACCCATCATTTGCATTCTAGCCGCCGTCACCAGGTTCTTGCCGTAACTCACCTTGCTGGCTCTCTTTCCCTCCCAATCGGAATTTGTTGTAGTTCCCAACCTTTTTTTTCATTCGGTGGCCCCCGACCAATAGATACTCTCCATGGCCTGTTCAGTGGCTGTCGATTTCTCAGATTCAGTTTTTACTAGTTATGAGATACGTAATGGTGTCAGTAGGTAAAGGACAAGACAAGGACACACTAAAGAAAGATTACAATTTGTTGATATGTGAGTAATTCGTCATAATTTTCCTAAAGCCCCATGGGTCACCAGAAAGTACCCCGTGCCACCCTGGAAACCCCTAGTCTAGAGGAAAAGAGAGACGGGGGGTGGGGAGAGGGAGGCGGGAGTGGGGGAGTGAGACGGAAGGAGAGGTAAAGAGAGGTAACAAGAAGGGGCTAGGGGCGCTCCTGGCAGCGATGATTCGGTATCGTATTTCCAATATTATTATCATTATCAATCCATTGCTAACTAGATAGTCTTCTCTCTCCCTATTTATATACGCAAAAATACATACATTACACACACATATATGTATAAGTGTATGTGTCTATATATGTCTACATTTATATACATATATATACATTGTAAAGGGTTGGTGATGGTTTCCCTGTAAATATGTTAATGAGTGATTGTGTGTGTGTGAGGATTCGGGTGGTCGAGCCATTTGCGTCTCCTCGTCGACGGTTCACGAATCCGAAACGAAGGTGACGTCGGCGACCACGAAAGCACGATCTCTACACCTGTTCATTTCATGTAAGTAAATTACTGTTTTTTTGAGCTTTGAACTACTTATATGAACTTATTGGAAGTCGGTTTAGACTAAGTTTACCCATCGGAAAGGGTATGTGACATAAGTAAAATTGGTGAAAGTAGTGAAATTAACTTTATTGCTTTTGTTTCCAGTCTCCATGCATGACACTTGTGTGAACTTAAGTCACGAGTATCCCAAAAACTCTTCGATCAGGTCACTTATGCCTCAGGTCGTGGGGTGTAAGCCGATACCAGACGCCCTAAACCTTCAGTGCGCATTTGCTCGTGGGTGCTGGCCCATACTGCAATCCACATTGTCATCAGGAAATTATTGATCAGAAATAGTGTATTTGTACATTTTTTTTTGTATATTTAATGAATAAGGCATCTTATTCTTCTGAACATTCTATTTTCGTTTAATGCATTTGTATATATATCTTTTATTTCGAATAATACAGTGAACAAACTGTTGTATGTATAATTTATTCAAACCTCGATTGACCCATACCTAAAAGGATTATAAAAGAACAAGGGGGTGAAAAGGACTAATCTAAGAATCCTAAAGATTTATACTAAACCCCAGACATACATACATACATACATATATATATATATATATATATATATATATATATATATATATATATATATATATACATATATATATAGAAAGAGAAAGAGAAAGTTAGACATGATTATAGATACAGACACGCATCTCTCTCTCTCTGTCTATATGTGTTTGTGTGTGTATATACATGCATACATATACATATAGATAGATAGATAGATAGATAGATAGATAGATATAGATATATAGATATATATAGCCACAAACATCAATAAATATGCCATAATAGATACAAGTGTTCAGCAGCCTCTCTTCTGGCAGCTCAAGGATAGCGCTAATGGCCAACATTAAGATTTGATATGCTTGGCATACAAATAAAAACATAAGCGCTACACATATAAACGCAGGTGTAGAAACTATCTATCTATCTCTCTCTATATATGTACACACGTACACACACACACACACACACACATATATATGTGTGTGTGTGTGTGTGTATACATATATATATATATCTATTTATAGATAGATATATGTGTGTGTGTGTATGTACATATGACTGTGCACTTACATATATATAAAGGCAGATGTATATGTACACACACATACATATATAAGTATTTATGTGAATATGTATGTATATATATGTATGTATGTATATATATATATATATATATATATATATATATATATATATATATATATATATATATATGTATGTATGCATATATATATATATATATATATATATATATATATATATATATATATATATATATATATATATTTGTCAGTGTGTGTGCATCAAAGATCTCATAACTACTCTACTCGCAAACGATAGAAGATATAAGCCAGGCGTGCCTCTGCGTCCCATCATCTCCACCAGGGGATCTGTGACGCACCCCCTTGCGGCCTGGCTGGCGAAGTCTCTCACTCCCCTTCTCGGCACCGTCTCTCTTGCTCACCTTCGCCACTCTCAAGACTTCTTTTCCCGTGTCCTTGGTGTCCCGTTGGCGACTATGATGAGCTTGGATGCCTCCTCCCTGTTCACCAAGGTCTCGCTCGATGACGTCCTCGCTTTCCCCCAGAGGAAGCTTCCCGCCGAGCATCATCGTCTCCCACTGCCCAACGACGTCATCCTCCAGTTGATTCGTCTGTGTGTGGAGTCTAATTCATTTTCCTTTGAGGGTCGCTTCTACTCTCAGACGTTCGGTGTTGCCATGGGCTCTCCCTCTCTCCAGCCCTGGCTAACCTGTTCATGGAGTACTTCGAGTCTGTGCTTCTACCTTCCATCTCCCTTCGTCCTTCAGTTTGGCTGAGGTATATCGACGACGTCTTTGCTCTCTGCCCTGTTCCAAATTTCCTGATGCAGTTGAACTCTCTCTCCTTCCATCCGTGCCAAGGTAGAATGGGAGGTTGACAACAAGCTCTCTTTCTTGGACTCCTTTGTTCATCGTTTTGCTAACCACTTCT